CCCTCTAAAAACCCTCCAAGGATTTCTCGTGCCCCTGGAATAAAACCCAACTCCCTTTTCTGGTTTCCCACCCTGCACACCACCCTCCTCCTCCCTGTCCTGTCTGTTCCAGCCATAGCAATTGTCTTTCTGCCCCTGGACTCTGCCAGGTCTCTCCTGCCACAGGGCCTTTGCATGAACAAATCTTTTTGCCTGCAGTGGTTGTCCCTCCAGTAGCCACATGGCTGTCAGCCTAAATGACTCTCCTCAGCTTCCTTTCCTGACAACTCAGTTGCTTGGCCTTGTTGACTTTTTCCCCTATCTCTCCAATATCAGCTCCGTGGGAGCAGAGGGACCTTACCTGCCCACCTCCTTGTTGGTTACGCCATCCAGCACCCAGGAGGCCCTGAGGATTCCCTGTGGGCTGCATTGAGAGGCATGCCTGGGGTGACGTCCTCAGAGGAGCCCTTGCCGCTGTGTGAAAACGGCAGGTTTGCAGCCTCCAAGCTGGATGGAAGCAACATGCTGCCTAGTTCTGCTCCTGCGCAGGGGTCTCCCTCTGGCCGGGGAAGGTGGGGGGAGTAAGGAGGGGTTTCTTTTAAATGAAACTGTTTCAGAGGTAGGGTTTCCAGATAAGACCCAGCATGTCCAGTTACATTTTTTTTTGGAAGGGGAGGTTGTTAGGTTTATTTTTTTAAATAACATTTTTTATTGATTTATAATCATTTTACAATGTTGTGTCAAATTCCAGTGTTCAGCACAATTTTTCAGTCATGCATGGACATATACACACTCATTGTCACATTTTTTTCTCTGTGAGCTACCATAAGATTTTGTGTATATTTCCCTGTGCTATACAGTATAATCTCGTCTATCTATTCTACAGTTTTGAAATCCCAGTCTATCCCTTCCCACCCTCACCCCCCTGGCAACCATAAGTCTATATTCTATGTCTGTGAGTCTATTTCTGTCCTGTATTTACACTTTGTTTTTTGTTTGTTTGTTTTGTTTTTTAGATTACACATATGAGCGATCTCATATGGTATTTTTCTTTCTCTTTATGGCTTACTTCACTTAGAATGACATTCTC